CTGGGGGCACCTGGCTGGCTCAACTGGTAGAGCATGTGACTCGTGATCTCAGGGTTGTGAGTTCAAGCCCCACATTGGGCTTAGACCTTACTTAAAAAAAAATCATGTCTATTAAGTTTGTCCCTTTTCATCTTAATCAGGAAAACAATAACTTTCCTAAAATCCCTACCCATTAGGTATTAGAGTTCTGTTTCTATCTTACTGACTAGAACTGTGTCAAAACCCCAGCTGCAGGGGAATCTGGAAAGCAGAGTTCTTTAACTGGGCACACTGCTACCCTGAACAAAATTAGGATATGTTTGTAGGAAAAATGAGGGGTAAGTGGATATTGGACAGGCAATACCAAGCATGAAATATTTTTCTAAGTGTTTATATCTGGCTCTTTGCCATTAATTGTACATGCTTGCCACTTTGGTTACTTTGCAATGTTTCCGTTGGATAATAGAGAAAACCATAAACTCTCTGCATCCCAAATCAGAAAGGATATGTTGCAATTGGATGTCACCATATGGGCCAAATATTTTAGAGGAAAAAGAGGGACATAGGTTGTCTTGTGTCTGTGGAGCTGGACTGTGGCAAAAGCTTTCTGTCACCCTGCTAAGAAGAGAGGTATCCTAATTTCTTCACTGTTCATATTTGATTTTGGACCTCAGGGCCAGAGGGTTGAGTTCTTCATACTCATCATAATTTACGGTGTATCATCATCACTGGTCTGTCCAAAATTCTCTCTCTCTCATTAATTTATGTACTTAAAAGACCCGTCCTCTACTCTTCTCCTCCTTCTACTATAGACAATTAGAGTGGTGTGTTTAATGTATAGTTGTCTTTTTTTGTAAATGTTCTTGCATAATGCATATTGGAGGTTATACTTGTATTTATTTTTTATTTTTTTAAGATTTTGTTTTTAAGTAATCTCCACACTCAATGTGGGACTCAAATTCATAACCCCAAGATCAAGAGTTGCATGTTCCATAGACTGAGCCAACCAGGCACCCCTCTGGGCATATACTTTTAATTTGTAGAAATGATATTGAGTTATATGCCCCACTGTGTTGGGGCATATGATGTTCTTTTCTTAGGCAGCATTGGGTTTTTAGGATCCATCCAAGTTGCTTTATGTACATCTAACCCAGAGCTTCTGATTGCTGCATTATACCTCACAGTGTGCATCCATCTACTTTTCATACATACATTTTGTTATGAGCTGAACTGTGTTCCCCCAAAATTCGTATATTGAAGCCCAACCCCAGTACCTGAGAATAAATCGTATTTGGAGATAGAACCTTTAAAGAGTTAATTACAGTTCAATGAAGTCATAAATGAGTGAGCTTTAATCTACATGATTGCATTTGGAGACAGGACCTTCAAAGAGATGAGTAAATTCAACTGAGACTCTTAGGTGGGGCTCTACTCCAATATGACCTGTGTTCTTAAAGAAGAGAGACACAGCAGGGATGTGTGTACACAGAGAAAAACTATGTGAGGACACAGAAAGAAGGTGGCCATCAGCAAGCCACGAAGCATGGGCTCAGGAGAAACCAAACTTGCCAACACTTTGATCTTGGACTTTCAGCCTCCATAACCATGAAAAACTAAATTTCTGTTGTTTGAGCCACCCAACCTATGGTATTTTGTTATGGCAGTTCTAGAAATCCAACATACTTTCTCAGAGACACCCAGATTTCTTTCAATTCTTCTGTTGAAAGCCTTCGAAGCCAACAAACAAGGTTTCCTACAAAACTGACAATACTGTACTGCTAACGTCTGATTATTACTTAATGCCATTTTTATGTTGAAAACTGAGAAGTCTTTCTCTTGGAGTTCTGAATCTTTCAGTGCCTTGTTAATTGAAAGCCTGGCAAAAGGAAAAGAGGAATCCTATCCCTGATGACATATGATAGGTTTAGGTAACCCAGGCCCAAGCTTTTCAGTCTTTAATTGGCCAGACATTGGTTTAGAGACATTTCAGTCAATGAGAGGTAGAGGACTCTGGCTAGGAATTTTGTGACATGGTATTTTTCTTTCCTTTAGGTTAGTGGAGCTGCTGCAGCCATTCTGTTACCATAAGGGAAGCAAGCTTTAGGATTATGCTGATGCCACATAAAGCTGTAGGTAAGGATGAAATATGCCAGGTCTTGATTCAGACCAACCCTGAAGCCTATTCTGCTTCTGCACTTTTCAGTCGCATGAGCCATATTTTTTAAGCCAATGTGAGTCCTCTGTAACTTGGAAGAAAAAATATTCTAAATGATACTACAGGTAGGTACAAGGGTACAAATGTGAATAAAATCAGATCTCAGCCGTTTGTGGGCATAAATTCATTTGCACTGATCAGTTTGGCAAAAAGTGAATACAACAATAACACCAGTCCTGATTATTGGCTTTAGGTAACAGAAGCTCACATACATTGATGGTAGGAATGTAAATTGCTGGGGCATCTCTGTGGCAACTCTTGATTTTGGCTGAGGTCATGATCTCACAGTCATGAGATCAAAGTCTCATGATCTCACAGTCATGCAGATCAGCCCGAGTTGGGCTCTGCACTGAGGGCATGGGGCCTGCTTGGGATTTTCTCTCTCCTCGCTCTCTGCCCCTCCCCCAAGCTCATGCGCACATGCTCTCTCAAAAATAAATAAATTAACATTTTTTTTTAAAGAGAGGAATGTAGGGGCGCCTGGGTGGCGCAGTCGGTTAAGCGTCCGACTTCAGCCAGGTCACGATCTCGCGGTCCATGAGTTCGAGCCCCGCTTCGGGCTCTGGGCTGATGGCTCAGAGCCTGGAGCCTGTTTCTGATTCTGTGTCTCCCTCTCTCTCTGCCCCTCCCCCGTTCATGCTCTGTCTCTCTCTGTCCCAAAAAAATAAATAAACGTTAAAAAAAAAATTAAAAAAAAATAAAGAGAGGAATGTAAATTGCTATTTATTTTTGGAAAACAAGGTTATTAGGCTTAACCTTTGAAATTGTGATTTCTTTAGGTCACAGTGGTTGAGTATCAATAGTTTCATGTGATTCAACTCAATATATTAAAAACACATATTCTTTGGAGTGCCTGGGTGGCTCAGTTGGTTGAGCTTCTGACTTCACCTCAGGTCATGATCTCATGGTTCATGAGTTTGAGCCCCGCATCTGGCTGTGTGCTGACAGCTCAGAGCCTGGAGCCTGCTTCAGATTCTGTCTCCCTCTCTCTCTGCCCCTCCTCTGCTTGTGCTCTGTCTCTCTCTCAAAAATAAATAAAAACATTTTTAAAAAATTTAAAAACACATATTCTTTGACCTAACAATCTCAGTTTTGGGAAACTAGCGTATAAGAATAAAATCATTATAATATAAAGCTCTTCCTACATAGGCATTTATTGCAACACTGTTGATAGTGACAAAGCAAAGCAAGATTAGAAACCATCTCAAAAAAAAAATCTCAACATTGAGGAATAAAGTATCATACACCCAAAGTATGAAATATTATCTAAGAACTATTTCAGTAATGAGTTATATCTGTATCTCTTTACTTGGAGACAGGTCCCTGATGTTAAATCAGAAAAAAAAAAAAAGAAAAAAAGATGCAGAAGGAAAAAAAAGAAAAACGAAAAAAGATACAGAGTACCATGTTGACAATGATCCCAGTGATGTCAAAACAGGGGAAAAAGTCTTCTCTATGTATATGTCTGCCTGGCTACAGAGAAGGGAGTGAAAGGTAAATACTGCACTGGTAACATGAGTTAGCTTAGTGAGAGGGTAATGGAGGAAATTAAGGGGTAGTTTTAAAATTCCTTAAACATCTTTGCATTGTTTCACTATTTACATGACATGGCTGGCAAGAATTGGGCTAGAAGATGGGGATACATGATTGAATCAGACACAATGTGGGGCTCCTGGGACTGACTTAGGGTCAACGGGGAAGTCCAAAGATTTTGTTACTGGGAGCTAGGTTTATTGCGTTTACCACACACCTGTGTGGTAATCTCTAAGCACTTGAGCTTTATGAACTCATTTTGTTCTTTAAAAAGACACGTAAGGGGTGCGTGGGTGGCTCCATCTGTTGAGCTCTGGACCCTTGATTTCCCCTTAGGTAAGATCCCAGGATCACGTGATCCAGCCCCTGCTCAGCACGGAACCTGCTTGGGATCCTTTCCCCCACTGGTGAGCTCTCTCTCTAAAAGAAAAAAGAAACGGGGGAGAGAAGATATTTAATGTTCATAAAGCACTGTTTTTCTTTTAATGTCTTATTTATTTTTTTAAACACCCAACATGGGGCTGGAACTCAGACCCAAGATCAAGAGTCGAAGGCTTTGCGGGGTGGGCAGCTAGGGGGAGCCCCCATAAAGCACTGTCTTATCCCCATTTTGCACAGGGGTGAATTTAGGCAGGAAGAGGCTGAGGAACTCCCTCAAAGCTGCACCACTAGGAAAAGGGAGACACACCAGCTTCGAATCAGGGTAGCCCAAACCAGCACTTTGGCTTTGTGTACATTCCCTCCCTTAGACCACCTCTCCTCTCCTCCCCGAGTCCCAGAAAGGCCCTGTGAAGGGCTAGACGTTCTGACTCGGAGGTCGCCTCAGTGAAGAGCACTCACTCCTGCCTGGGGGAATCTGACCACAGCTCACAGACGTTGGGACCTTTGTATCGACTTGTGAAAGGTAAACAGGTGTTCATTAGGGAGACTTGGGGACTGGGCACGGGGTGGAGGTGTGGACACCAGGCAAGCTGTGATCTGAGGAGGATCCTGCGGATCGAAAACAGCACTCGGCCAGACCTGGGCTGCGGCCGCCGGGGGACCCTGCGTTTGGCTCTTCCTTCCTGAACGGTGGACGCCAAGGCTCGTTCTTCTAAGCGAAGTCTTTCCACCGGATTGCCACTTAGGACGCTAGTGGAAGCACAGTTCCACCTGGGCAGGGCTCCAATAGAGGCCATTATCATTGGAATCACGCCCTACACACACACTTGTGGGTAATCCTGGCTTTCCCTCCCGAAACCCTCTGCGGGCCCGGGCTCCACCACTCTTGCAGGAGCAGCTCCGCCTCTGCGGGAAGCCCCACCCTCTCCCGGGACCCGCCTGGATTTAAGGTGGAAGGCCCGCTGCACAACCTCAAACACGTTCTGTGTCTAGGTAGTGGAGCCCGCGTATTCTCGTAAGTAAACATCCTCACCGTTTTTTCCTGCTGATTTTCTAGAATTCCCTATTGTGGAGCGTTTGCGCGTTGCTCTCCCTCACCTCTTGCTGCATAACCTCTGAGTCTTGGGCTAGGAGGAAACTAGAAAGCCAGATGTCTGGATCGGTTCCTCCCAGTCCCAGCACGTTCTTGGAGAAATCAGAGACCTACTGGAGGGAAGGGCACGGCCTGTCTGCATTCCGGGTTCTCAGCATAGCTGCCCAACCCCGGCGGCGGCTGGCCAAGTAACTTGTGGAACCGCGGAACTGGGACAAGTGTGGAAGGACAATTAAGATAGGGGTCGGAATTCGGTTAGTGGGCACGGGTGTGTGCAGGCCGACGAGGTGGGAAGCTAGGAGCAAGCGCGCCTCCGGACTCTGCACCTGGACATCTCCCTCTGGTGGGTGGGACTCCGTGAACTCTGCGGCCTCTTCGGCTACGTTCTTTCCGGGGTGGGGGGGCTTCTGTACTGGCAGCGAGTTCAGAATTCGCTCTCAGCTGCCTTTTTGGGAAAAGAAGTAGAAGAGCAGGACTACGGATCCGCCCGCCGGGATCGCTCCCCTGGCAATGCAGAAATGTCCAGGGCCCTGCTGTTACCCTAAACTGGGGTCGCCTCTTGGTGGGTGTTCAGTGAAAAGACACAACCGAGCCAAAGAATAGGAAAAGTAGGGGGTATAGCTCAGGGGTAGAGCATTTGACTGCAAAGAATAGGAAAAGGAAGGATTTTATTTGCGAGTAAAGGAGAACACCAGGGATGTTTCCCAAAGTAGTGTCTCCCCGAACAAGAAAAGTGAGGAGGTTTTAAGCTAATGATACATCCATATTCATGAAGGGGCTCTGCAAAGGCAAATTCATTATGAATTGGGGCAAAGGTCATCCTGAGTCGACGGAGTCCAGGTCCTAGTTGATTGAAGTCTTGAGGGTCAGCAAGGGTGGGCATCGTCAGTTCTCTGGCTCCAATTAGCCCGGAATTTGAGTGCTGAAAGGGTTTCAGTCTAGCAAAGAACAGCCCAACCATATGCATGAGGTCAGTCTTTGCTTTTGAAACAGCGCTGGGAGCTTTGGCATTGATTTTTTGTCTCTGATTTTTTTTCTCTGGCTCGGCAAAGACGATTTGTTTCCATAAAATCCTTAACTTCTGAGGTTTTTGCATTCCTTTGTAATTCTAACACCTCCTAGGAAATTCTGAAGGAGGTGCACTTGGGTAAGTAGTGTCAGGAGGGCCTAAAATGACTTCTGTGTCGGCAAAGCTCTATTTCAGCTTTTTATATCCGTCAACCCCTCTTTCTGCTTACATTGCTGGGGGACAGGCCTGTCAGCTGGCAGTACACACGTGAGGAAGGAGAGGCTCCCACATGATGCGGGGTAGATCGGTCCAAGCAAAATGTCCTGATCCCAAAGCTCAGGGCAGCCTGGATCATCTCTCTTGGTTCCCTGTGAAGGCAAGTTTAAACCCTGGATTTCCCTTTTGGTGCCAGAGTAAATTCACCACTGAGCAGAGCAGCAGCGCCACGCCGTGGTGTTCAGCAGGATGAGACTGTTTGCCTTAGAACGTTGCTTTATCCGGCTGAAAGATGTGAGTGTTCCTCTCTTCGGTTCTTTGTGTTTGACACTCTTTCTCAGGATTCGCTCTATGTGAGGTGAGAAACAGAATATTTGCACATGAGGTGGCTGTTGAGTGTCCTGGTGAAACCCTAGCGGTAGCTGAGAAGAATTTCTGTGTTGGTTTACATTTTCCCTTGCCTTGGAGAGTTCTGAGGAAGCCTCAGTTTCCTCATTGGTACTGGCAGTGACAATGCCTATCTAATAGGGAACTTAGGAGGATAAAATGAGATAATGCATTTGAAGTGTTTTGCACAGCAATGGAAATATAATAAATAATAAATGTGGTTGGTATTAAATGATAATGAAGAGAAGTAGATGATGAATAGACCCTCCTGTCTTCATTGCAATGGCTAGGAAGTCTTAATAATCCAGTCACTTTGTGGTAGCTGACTACATCTTTACTGTGTTCCAGGAACTTCAGGATGGTTTATGCTAAGAGCTGGACCCTGAAGAAGCACTTCGAAGGCAGCCCCACTCATGGTAACTTTGAGTTGAAAACAGTTGAACTCCCACCCTTAAACAATGGAGGTAAGTCCTAAGATTTGAGTTGGAAAAGACTGTATCAGTTAGCCTTTGCTTCATAACAAAAGTACCTCAAAGTTTAGTGATGTCAAACAACAATCATTATTTGCTCACAATTCTGTGAGTTGGCAATTTGGGCTGGGTTAAGTTGGTGGTAACTCTTCACGTCTCATCTGGGCTGACTGTTTAATGTAGGATGGGCCCTCCTCATATGTCTGGTGGTTAGCAAGCTTTCTGCTGAGGTGTGTGTCTCAGTTCTTCTAGTAGGCTGACTTGAGCTCTTTGTTTTCACAGTGGCCTCATTGATCTAGAACAGTAGGAGTTGGCAGGCTCCAATGTGCAAGTACTTTCATGCCTCAAGTTATATCATGTTTGCTAATATGCAAAGCAAGTCACATTAGCCAAGTCCAGATTCAAGGATTGAGAAATAGACTTCTTGTTGGGAGGAGTGGCAAAGAGGCCCCACACAAAGAGATGGGAGGCATTTGTGACAATTTTGCAATCTGCCACAGAGACTTTTTCAGGGTGTTCTTGTGTGAAGCCTTCATGTCATGTGGGATCCCTCTGATTTCCTGAATAATTGAAACTCACGGTTGGGTACATTGTTCATGACTTTGACCAGACTCTGGGGAGGATTTCCTCTCTGTCCTGGCAAGCCTGATGATGGGGTAAGCAAGTGGGGAAAGCAATACCTAGCAGCTGTGTGCAAAGCTCAGATTATCCTATACACAGACAGGAGGGATAAACCCTCTTCCTTCATTGAAGAGTCTCCCATCCCCTTAGGGAAAGTGAAAGGACAAGGTAAACCTAAAGAAATCTAGGGGAGAGAAATGGCAGCACGTGCCATAACATGTTTGGAGATTAGCTTTGTAGAACAGACAATAAAAGGTGTTTACAGGTAGGTAGGCAGGCTTTGAGAAAAGGACATGCAATCAAATAGCATGGCAAAGTTCAGTCCCATCTAAATTGGGGTAGCCAGGACTCAGATTCAAAATTCCAGAGAATGTGTGCATGAGGTCACTGCAACAAAATATAGATTCTTTAATACTGATGGGGGCTGTTAGTGAAACCTTATATGATCATTGTAACATAGTGATTACAAATGTGGCCCTGATCAAGTTCCTTAACCTAGGCCTAAATAAAATGAAAACAGTAATCGCTGAGAATATCATCTAGAATAATCCATGTAAAGCATGGAGTGCTGAGTAAATAACGTGATGATGATGATAATGATCTGGGCTGGACCAAATGTGAGAGCCCCTCTTGTCTCTTCCATAGAAAGTACTGATGGAAGGGCAACCTTGAAGCAGAAAGGTTATCTGTGTTTATTTAGAGTGCCAAAGTCAAGGAAGGCATCGAGTGTTGAGTATCTAATTGCCTATGGAATGCTTTATTTTGTAGAGGTCCTGCTGGAAGCTTTGTTCCTCACTGTGGATCCTTACATGAGGTATTATTTTCCTCCTAAAAATTCATGTATTGTGTTTGGGACCTTGTTTTGAAATAGTCCATCTTTTATTTAATTAGTTAATTGATTAATTAATTTTTTTAATTTAAAAATTTATAATGTTTTTTTAATGTTTATTTTTGAGAGAGAGAGAGAGAGAGCGCGGGGGAGGGGCAGAGAGAGAGGGAGACACAGAATCTGAAGCAGGCTGCAGGCTCCAAGCTGTCAGCACAGAGCCTGATGCGGGACTCGAACTCACAAATCATGAGATCATGACTTGAGCTGAAGTCAGATGTTCAACTGACTAAGCTACCCAGGCGCCCCTGAAATAGTCCATCTTTTCAAATATCCAACTGATTGTCATTTCCCCCTGTTGTCCCAGTATAATATCAGTGATAAGATTCATGGATGCTCATTCTGCCAGCAAAGGTGTGAGAAGGTTGACAAGGGATTACCCTGCCCCTGTATTTTACCATCATCTCCTATCTTAATGTACACAATTTGCCTCAAATTGCTTATCAGAATTGCTTCCCCAAAAATTAAGACAAATCCAATTTGTCCATTTTACTACTGGCACTTATTTGTGTAGAGGAAGATGGTAAGACTAAAATAAGGTTTTCTTGACTTCCATTTACCTGTATTCCTGTAATCAAATGTGTGTACTCAGGAAACAATTTTAGGGGGGGAGGGAATAAAAGGCCTTTATGGGGCACTAACTTCTCAGTGGTTTTTGCCTAGGTAAATAATGTAGTCATCATTCTTTAAAATGATTTTCAGAGCTGATCAATAGAGATTCAAATTTAATGTAAAAAATGTTTCAAAATGTTAACTAGCATCCCTTTATGTGTGGCGAGTACGATTCTGCAATAATAATTCTAATTTGTAGGTTTTCCCCCCACAATACCAACCAATTCTCTGATAACCCCTGGGTGTCCTACAATTCGACTCAATTCTAACAGTATCTACAGTTAGATAGTGTCAGATCCTACACGTGAAGGAGTCAGTCCTACAAGACTGCCCCCACACACTTCAGATGCCAGACTCAAGTCCACATTGTTACCTGTACTTTGGAGTTTCCAACGACACCTTCCTTGCTAGAGTGGCTCATAGATAGAACTCATGAAGCTAGTTTACTCACTAGATTACTGGCTTATTATAAAAGGATATATAACTCAGGAAAAGTCCCATGGAAGAGATGCATAGGGCAAAGTATGTGGGGAGGGGTAAGGAGCATCCATGCCCTCTCCAAGGGCACTACTCTCCCCAGATCTCCTTGTGTTCACCAGCCCAGAAGCTCTCTGAACGTATTTTATGAAGGCTCATTACATAGGCACAGTTGATTAAATCATTAACCATTGGCAACTGATTTGACTTCTAGTCCCTCTCCCCTTCCTGAGATCTGGATAAGGGAAATGAAAGTTACAGCCCTCTAATCACACGGTTGGTTCTGGCAACCAGCTCCCATCCTTAGGTGCTTTCCAAAAGTCACTTCATTAACATAACAAAAGATACCTTTATCAGTCTCATTAATTAGGAAATCCCAGGGGTTTAGGTGCTCTGCCAGAAACAGGATATAGACAGAATATAATAATTCTAATTCTAAATCACAATATCACAGCTTGTGATTTGAGTAACAAGTACCCAGTGGTGTCTTTGTCATCTTTTAAGTCATTGGTAGAAACTCAACCCCAGTGGAATATGATGGTAAGATTCTCATGTTCATTTCCCAGAAAAATACTATCAGAATGCTTCTTTGGGGTCACAGAGCAGAACTACTTACTTCTAGCAGCTCTCCCGCATTTCACCCAGTTATATTACCTTCATGTATCAGCACACACTTTCCCACTGATTTTCCATTTGGCTTGAAACTCAAGATGGTTTTCCCTTGATGCTCTTATGTATTAAGAATTTTTTTTTTTTTTCCAGAGTGGCAGCCAAAAGATTGAAGGAGGGTGATACGATGATGGGGCAGCAAGTGGCCAGGTATTTCTATTTGTCCCAGCGCTTGAAAAATACATCTCTCTTTTACCTTCTGTTGGGTTCTGAGTCTGTCCATCGCCCCTACAGTTTCTTCAGCCTGTATGGTTCACTCACTGACCTTGGAAGCAACTTGGGACATCTTGCCCCTTTCCTGTGGGAGAGGGACGGCTGTGAGATTGTCATCACTGCAATTTCACTTTGCTAGTCTTGCTTTTAATTAGTTAAAAAATTGCATTTGTCCAGTTTATGACTAGAGTAAAAATTCCAATGAACCACAATTTTTTATTTTGGAAACTGAAAGTTCCTCCATCATCTGAGCCTTAGAGATGACTATTGTTAATGTATTCTTATTTCAAAAATTGTTCAGTACACAAACCAATGTCTATAATTTTTCTTAACTAGCAGTATTATATGCCCTTCAGCAAATTTATTTTTCTCACTTAATATGGATATCTTTTGTTGATAGTATATAAATATACTACCTACCTTTTAATGGCTGCAAATTATTCCACTGTTATCTGTCATTTAAGTAATCTATTCCTGATAGCAAATGTTTCCTATTTTTTCTATTACAAATAGTTCTGCAGGGAATATACGTACATCTTTATGTGCATGTCTGTGTATTCTTTGCCTACTTGGATAAATATTGCTTCACATTAAATTCCCAGAAGCATAAATTCTAGGCCAAAGGAGATGCACATTTTTAATTTGAGGACTTAATGTAAAATTGCTCTTCAAAAATATTGTATGAATATCCACTTCCACCGATAGTATTAAAGAACCTTTCTCATACCAAATAAATGCCCATTGCTTACCATCAATTTTGGCAATCTGAGGTGAATTCACGTTGATACTTCATGCTTAGTTTAATTTCCATTTCTTTCATATTAGTGATGTTGACATTCTTTTTGTAAATTAATTATCAATTTTTTTCTCTGAATTATGTTTATGTCCTTTCCTTTCCTCCTTTAGGTCTTTTTATCTTTTATTAGTGATTTGTACAAGCCTTTTTATATGTTAGGAATAGGAGTGTTGCAAATATCTGTGTCTTTATCTTTATCTTTCCCCTGTGTCCAGTCATAATTTAAAATTTTTATGTGATACAATTATTAATATTTGTAATTGTGGCTTCTGGGTTTCATTTCATCATTAGAAAGGCATCCTCCCCTCCAAAATAACTAAAATATTTATTCATGTTTTCTTCTGGTATTTTATTTTATTTTAAGTGGACTGGCACTGACAGCAAAGAGCCCAATTCCAGGCTCAAACTCATGAACCATGAGATCGTGACCTGAGCCAAAGTTGGATGCTTAACCAACTGGGCCACCCAGGTGCCTCTCTTCTGGTATTTTATATGCTAATTTTTTATAATTAAATCTTCAGATCCTTTAATTTTTGTTTTGGAATATGGGTGAAGTATTTACTTTATGTCCAAGTGACAAGCCAGTTATAACACCATTTATTGAAATTATATTTGGATTTTTGGGATTTCAATGACTTTATAGATTCATTTAGAGGAAATATGTTATCTTTAGTACATTTTTCTCCAGGCACAAAGTATACCTCTCCATTTATCCATCTTTGTCTTATGGCCCATTAACAGTTTTCTTCATATAGGTCGTATATGATGATCAAAGATATGAACAACATACTGTACTGTATATGAACAACAGACAGTACTGAGGGATGGAAATGTTGTTATGATACACTTATACCCTGAAGGTGGAAGCAAAAGTTGGCATAACCTTCTGGAAAAGAATTTGGCAATATGCATGCAACAAGAGTTAACAAATGTTTTAATAGTCTCTGACCTAGTAATTCCATTTATAGAAATATTGCCTAGGAAAATTATAAATTCATATTTACGAATATTAATTGAAGTATAATTTAGAAAATACTGGAAATAACCTAAGTGTCTAATACTGGTATAATAAATTCATTTCAGGTTTTTTTTAGATTTTATTATTAAAATTTTTTCTTTTTAACGTTTATTTATTATTGAGAGACAGAGAGACACAGAGCGTGAGCAGGGGAGGGGTAGAGAGAGGGGGAGACACGGAATCCTAAGCAGGCTCCAGGCTCTGAGCTGTCAGCACAGAGCCCAACATGGGGCTGAAACTCACAAACTATGAGATCATGACCTGAGCCAAAGTTGGTCACCTAAGCAACTGAGCCACCCAGGCGCCCCTAGATTTTATTATTAAGTAATCTCTACACCTAGCGTGGCATTCCAACTCCCACCTCCAAGATCAAGAGTTGCTCACTCTGCTGACTGAGCCAGAAGGGCGCCCTGAAATTCATTTCAATTTTTAAAGGATTCTTACTAACATGAGAAAAAGTATAAGTCATATATGCTAGTGTAGAGAGAGAAAAGCTGGCTTGCAAAACATAAGGTGATTTCAATTATGTAAATATATATAATAAACATTTTTAAAATGCACTTATTTTCTTTTCAAGTATAATTAACATACAGTGTTATATTAGTTACAATATAATGATTCAACAATTTTATACATTACTCATTGCTCATCCCAATAAGTGTACTCCTTTAAAAAAAATTTTTTTGGGGGCGCCTGGGTGGCGCAGTCGGTTAAGCGTCCGACTTCAGCCAGGTCACGATCTCGCGGTCCGTGAGTTCGAGCCCCGCGTCGGGCTCTGGGCTGATGGCTCAGGGCCTGGAGCCTGTTTCCGATTCTGTGTCTCCCTCTCTCTCTCTGCCCCTCCCCTGTTCATGCTCTGTCTCTCTCTGTCCCAAAAATAAATAAACGTTGAAAAAAAAATTTTTTTTTTTAAAAATAAAAAAAAATTTTTTTTTTAAATTTTATTTATTTTGGGGGGCCTGGGTGACTCAGTCGGTTGGGCACCTGACTTTGGTTCAGGTCATGATCCCATAATTTGTGGGTTTGAGCCCCGTGTCAGGTTCTGTGCTGACAGCTCGGAGCCTGGAGCCTGCTTCAAATTCTGTGTCTCCCTCTCTCTCTGTCCCTCCCCTGCTTGTGCTCTGTCTCTCTCTCTCTCAAAAATATTAAAAATTAAAAAAATTTTTTTTTCTTTATTTTGAGAGAGAGAGCAAGCAGGGAAGGGCAGAGAGAGGGAGAGAGAGAATCCTAAGCAGGCTCTGCACTGTTAGCATGGAGCCTAATGCGGGGCTCAATCCAATGAACCAGGAGATCATGACCTGAGCCAAAATCAAGTCAGATGCTTAACCGACTGAGCCACCCAGGCACCCCAATAAGTGTACTCTTAACCCCCTTCACCTATTTTACCCATCTCCTCACCCACCTCCCTTCTGGTACCATCAGTTTGTTCTCTGTATTTAAGGATCTATTTTTTTGTTTGTATCTTTTTTTTCTTTGTTCATTTGCTTTGTTTCTTAAATTCCACGCATGAGTGAAATCATATGGTATTTGTTTTTCTGACTGACTTATTATTTCACTTAGCATTATACCCTGTAGATCCATCCATGTTGTTGCAATTGTAAGATTTCATTCTTTTTTATGGCTGAGGAATATTCCATTGTGTGTGTGTGTGTGTGTGTGTGTGTGTGTGCGCGCGCGCACCCGTATCTTATTCCATTCATCTATGGAAGGACACTTGGGTTGCTTCCATAGTTTGGCTATTGTAAATAGTACAGCAGTAAACATAGAGGTTCATATATCTTTTTCAGTTAGTGTTTTCCCATTCTTTTGGTAAATACCTAGTAGTGGAATTACTGAATCATATGTAATTATATTTTTAATTTTTTGAAATTTTATACTGCTGTCCACAGTGGCTGTACCAGTTTGCATTCTTATAATACACATTTTTAAATCTATCATTAAGATTGCCATAACATATCCCAAAATATTAGCAGTTATCTTTGTATTATGGGATTAGAACTGATTTTTTATTTTATATATTATAACTTTTCTAAAATAAATGTGTTACATAATTTTATGATCAAGGGAAAGACAGTAAAAAAAAATGGTAACAGTGGGAGAAGATGGAATAAGAATCAGCAAGAGACAGAAAAGGAGCAGCTTAGAGGGAGAGGCAAAAAGCCCAGTGAAGGCAGTATTGTGGAAACCAATGAAGAAGAGTTTGGGTAGCCCAGAGTGCTGAATACAGTTGAAAGGTGAAATCAGATGATGAGTGAAGAGTGTCCACTAGATTTTGCAATCAGAAATTGTGACTTTAGTGGAGTAACAGGGGTGCAGGCCATGTTGCATTGGGTTGTCAAGTGATTGGGCAGTGAAGAAGTTTGAATATAAAAGGGAAAGGGGGCAGTGGAGAGGACAATGTTAAATATTCAGGAGAGAGGAGGGGCTAGGAGATGGAGGGTGGCCCCTGAAGAACAGAACAGAACACCTTGAACCAGAGGATGTACACCTCTTGCTTAAAGAGAAGTGGGTGAGGACAGAGACAGATGTTGAACCAGTTCAGAGAGTTCCTCCCTAATGGCCCATATTTTTTTCTCAAGGAGGAGGAGAAACCAATGGCTAGGAATAAGATGGAGAGATGTGGTGGGGTATTCAATCATGGAATATTAACTTCCATGCCCTTTTAGGAATACTAACCATGCAGCATCCTAACTCCCTTGAAAGAAAAGAGGTTTCCCACATCTTAATGTGCTTTATCTTTCAGAGTTGTGGAAAGTAAAAACTCAGCCTTCCCAACAGGAACTATGGTAGTGGCTTCTTCAGGCTGGACAACTCACTCCATTTCTGATGGGAAAGATCTGGAAAAACTGCCTGCAGAGTGGCCAGACACATTACCAGTGTCTTTGGCTCTGGGAACAGTTGGCATGACAGGGTGAGTTTCATGGGTATGTTTCATTTATTTGAATATCTGACATTCTGGTTTTCCAAAATAGTTTGTCTAGAATGTGGTCAACAAGAAGAGACCCAAGACATTCTAGGCTCAGGGGCTGGTTAGAGTAAATGGTGGGACTGAGAAGGGAATAAGATGGGTTAAAGTTGGCCTTGGACTAAAGGAAAGAAAGGGAAAAATCCAGCCAGAGACCCTCAGAACCAGAGAGCGGCAGTGAGAAGCAGCATGGGGCATGATCCCTCTTTAGCAGCTGGCAAATGGTAACACAAAGGGACCAGCTCCTTTTGTCCCTGGAAGGGTCTTGGCTTCAGGGTCTCTGTCTCCATTTCAGAGTTTGAAAAGGGGAAGAGAATTCAATATACCTTGGCTTTTCTGTGCTGTCTCTCATTCCTCACCTTTCCCTATGCACATCTGAATCTCCTGAGGTATAAAGAGATCTGAAGTTTAAATGAGATGAATCACAAGTATGGTTGCACAGTCACTCAGCTGGCACAGACTTAAACTCCACAAGAGTCCTTTGGCCTTGTCCCTCAGGAAGACTCCTGGTCAGTTCATCCTATCTCAGCTGTACTTTAGGCTTCAAATTTCCTTTTGTGGCCTGGAGAAGCAAGGTCAATTGAATTCCTTTTGGAATCCCCCCAAAACTTTTTTAGCCTGAAATTCATGTATTTCCTTTCTTTCTCTAAGTTATTTGATCTCTTCCTCCCTCCCTCCCTCCTTCTTTTTCATACTTTGAAGGACTTCTAAAGAATGAACTGGATATGTATACCTCAAATGATCAGCTTCTAGCAAAAACCAGTCCCATACACCCCAACTTCATATTGCACTCAGATTATGACCTCCTTAGTATTGCTGTGACCAAGAGGCAATGTTGAAATTAATGTGAAATTAGAGGGTGCTTAATACCTTTTTGCTTTTTTTTTTTTAGTCTTCTTTTAAAGTTTATTTATTTTTTGAGAGAGAGAGAGAGCATGAGCAGAGGAGGGGCAGAGAGAGGGAGAGAGAGAATCCCAACACAGGGCTTGATCTCCCGAACCTTAAGATATGACCTGAGCCAAGATCAAGAGCGGGACACTTAACTGAGCCCCCCCAGGCGCCCCCTTCTTACTTTCAAATAAGCACTGAATAGAATTATAGCACTTCCAGGTCCTGCCTACCTGCCCCATAACCTCTACGAGGGAGAGCTTCTCCTCCCACCTTGTTATCCCACCTGTCGTTCTAAGTTGTGAGCCAGGTGTAAGAATGCAGGGGTGAAGGCAGACATGAGGAAACCTTGGAGCAAGTCTCCCATGACTTAGATGGGGAGAAAGTAATCTGTAAAATATAAGGAGATTTGAATCCTAAAACAGAGGATAACTTACTCATTTGTGTGTACTTCTCATTCACCCTGTTCCAAACCCCCAAGGAGTGCATTTTTACTCCATAAACAATCAACTTCATACCATTGGTTCTCACTGATTGAGGGAGAGGCATTATCCCATGCTTCTAACCTTCTCTAGTGACACACTGCCCATTCTTTGAGCAATTCCTGCCTTCTGGACTACTTACCAGTGGGATGGGTCGGCCCTTCAAGAGTGCTAGAACTTCTGCTATAGACCATAAAAGAAGTTGAACTTTAGGGTGCCTCGGTGGCTTAATGGGTTGAGCGTCCAACTCTTGATTTTGGCTCAGGTCGTGATCTCATAATTTGTGAGACTGTGGGGCTCTCTGCTGACAGTGTGGAGCCTGCTTGGGATTCTCTGCCTCTCTCCCTGTCTCTTCCCCACTCCTCCCCCTCTCGCTCGCTCTCTCAAAACAAATAAATAAACATTATAAAAAAAGAAGTTGTGGGGCGCCTGGGTGGCGCAGTCGGTTAAGCGTCCAACTTCAGCCAGGTCACGATCTTGCGGTCCGTGAGTTCAAGCCCCGCGTCAGGCTCTGGGCTGATGGCTCAGAGCCTGGAGGCTGTTTCCGATTCTGTGTCTCCCTCTCTCTCTGCCCCTCCCCCGTTCATGCTCTGTCTCTCTCTGTCCCAAAAATAAATAAACGTTCAAAAAAAAAAAAAAGAAAATTAAAAAAAAAAAAAAAAAAAAAGAAGTTGAACTTTGAAACCTAGGGTGCCTTTCAGCTGTCCAGGCTCCAGAGATTTAGCATTCCCTCCAGGTTTGCATTATTTCCTTCAGTGGGCCTCTGTTTTCTCAGTTAAGCTGGAGGAGTTCATGTGTTTTGCTCTCCAAACTGTTATATGTTAAGTCCCCCCTTAGTCCCAAGGGTACCTTTAATTTTTCCTCTAAGATTGCTTTACTGTTGGCTTCTCCATTTTACTTCTAAAAGGATATGATGTTTGGGAGAGGCCTTGTGTCTTCTAGGGCAGTATGTCTAATTGAGAGGTGATTTTAGGGTTTCTAGAAGGGAGATTGGGGTTGGGGGGTGGTAACGATTGTCATGAGTGGAATGATATAATCAGAAAATGCACCTTCTGCTTCTCTTTTGAGGTTATGCTCACCCAGTGTGCTTTGGTTTCGGCATTCATTAAGGTGGTGGTTCTCAGTTGCTTAAATTCCTAAGAATCACCTACTCTTATGAAATTCAGATGTTCATGTCCCAGTATTTCTGGACCAGTGGGTCTGAGGTGGGGACTGGGAATCTAAATTTTTAATAAAACTCCAGGTGATTCTGAGGCAGATGGTGCCCCATTCATCTTTTGAAAATTACTGGGAATATTAGCTTTTGGGTCCTCAGAAAATGTGTAGATTTCTATGCCTTTCACTGCCTTGCCTTTAATGTCCAACTCTAATGGGTCCCCAGATATAGGCAAAGGCTAATGTATAGTTTGTTTCTTATAGAAACAACTTTACATGAATTTGTCTGAAATTTTGCAAGTGGCTTAGCAATTGCCACAGTGGATATAGATTTCTTTGACTCAGACTCAGGGGCGTGATTATAAAACTCAAAAATTTTTCTATTGCTGTACTTCATCTCTATCCCAAGCCTGCATCTTGGCTTGTGTAGTAAAACAGAGCCTCAGTTTAATTTAGTGATTTCTCACATTGTTCAGGTTCAAAACTCAGAATTTTCTTTTTCTTCTCCCCAAGATTGATGCAGAGCTTCCAGGGCTAACAGATTCCATGTCAGCAGGGGGGCGACAGCAACTTCTTGATCTTTTTTTTTTTAACTTATAAAAAATGTTTATTTTTGAGAGAGAGCGAGTGCAAGCGAGGGGCAGAGAGAGAGGGAGACAGAAGATTTGAAGTGGGCTCTGTGCTGACAGCAAAGAGCCCAACGTGGGGCTCGAACTCATGAGCTGTGAGATCATGATCTGAGCCGAAGTTGGACGCTTAACCAACTGAGCCACCCAGGTGCCCCAATAACTTCTTGGTCTTGATCTATCTTAGTCTTATGCTGTTCTCCTGCTTCAAAGTGTGACTTTTCCCACTGAGTCCTCAGTGACATCCCCTTCCAAGCTGGCCATCCAAGCTGGTGGTTTCTTCACTCAGTTCTTGTCAGTACTCTCTGAGCTGCATCTTTGCAGACCCCATAGTTTTTTCCCTGCAAGCTAACTTCAACATCTCACTTAGGATGAGATGGGGAAATTTCAGAAGCTCTTCCATAGCACTTAGGAGCCATGGAAAACTCAAGGTGTTTCTCTTGGATCCTCTCATCTGCTCTATGGTTATGGCACCATGATGACATGGAGGCTTTCCCCATGAAGTTCACCATCTCCCCAGGGCGTATATAGGAATGAGGCACAAGCCCTCTATTCTAGGACCCCCAGAGTCCTAGAATCTTCTTTTGCTCTTGAGACTTGGCCTAGGGATAAACAGGGTGCAGCGCCTTTCCAACCAACTCTCCATTTCTTCTCTGGTTCCCATTATATTTATTCCTATCTAGGAGCGAGGAAGGAGGAGGTGGACCATTAGTGGCTGGTAATATTCAATTCCTATATTTTCTGTCTTTTATTGGACCCATGGCACTGGGCTGTTGAGAAGGCCTTCAGGATATATCTGAACAACTTATAAGAGAAAGCCACAAATCAACCCACATATCTTTAATTTTCTTCCCTCAGGCTAACAGCCTACTTTGGCCTGCTTGACATCTGTGGTGTGAAGGGTGGAGAAACAGTGATGGTTAATGCAGCAGCAGGAGCAGTGGGCTCTGCTGTGGGCCAGATAGCTAAGCTCAAGGTAAGTGTCTTCTTCCATTACCCAACATTTACTCAATACCCACAGTGTACACTGAGAATACAACAGTGAACAGAGCAGACCTTCTCTGATCTCAGGGAGTTTTGTTTAGTGGGTCTTGCTTGGAAGTTGAAGATACATTGAGAATGCAAGAGATATTTCTGAAGTGCTACTCTCTGTGTACCAATACAATCTCTAGCTCATCCTGAAAGTGCTTTTCAGAATGCTCTCCAGTTCCTCTATGGTATGATTAGACAGGTTCTATCTAGTCCAATGCTTGAGCCCAAATCAAATAATAAAGGGGCAGTCACCAGGAGAAGTGACAAGATGGCTGAGAGTTCCAGAGCTGAGCCCAAATTATAGTCTAAAGCACCACTGTTCCAAAAGATAGCATGCAAGTCACTGCAAGAGAAGACCCAAAATAAAGAAATGAGAGTCAGATGAATAGGTTGTCAAGTCAGTAAGTTGAAAGGAGCTGTAAACCACATAAACATAGACCAGAATCTGTTGGTTGGTCAGAGACCAGCTAAAGTTAACGTTGGGTTGTAGGCTGATTCAGGGACCAATTTCACCTATGGGTCTGTTGGCCCATTATGGTATCTTCATGTATGTGGTTCAGCACCTAAGAGGGTGTTCTTGGGGAACCTGACCATACTAGGCTAGGAAGGTGAGTTAGTCCATGCTTTTGGCTTATAAATGGTCTCCATTTTTTTCTCCCCATTTAGGGCTGCAAAGTTGTTGGAGCAGCAGGGTCTGATGAAAAAGTTGCCTACCTTAAAAAGCTTGGATATGATGTTGCCTTTAACTACAAAACAGTAGAGTCTTTGGAAGAAACTTTGAAAAAAGCCTCTCCTGATGGTTACGATTGTTATTTTGATAACGTAAGCATGAAATGGACTTAATATCTTATTTACTAACAAAGTACTATACAAGGGAATAGCCTTCTAGAGTTCCATCTAAAATATATAAAGTACATATGCCTTTAATAAACAGCTTTATTGAGATATAATTCACCCATTTTGAAGTGTTGAATTCAGTGGTTTTTAGCATATTCACAGAATTGTACAACCATCACCACAATGAATCACCACCCATTTTCCCCCCAAAGTGCCTTTTGTGACTGGCTTCTTACACTGTACATTAGCATGTTTTCAAGGTTCATCCATGTTGTAGTATGTATCAGTACTTCATTCCTTTTTTATGGCTGAAAAATAATATTCCATTGTATGGATATACCACATTTTATTTATCCATCAATCGATTGATGAGCATCTGAGTAATTTTCACCTTTTGGCTATTACGTATAATGCTGTGAACATTCATGATCTTGGGTATATGCCTATAAGTAGAATTGTTGTGTCATGTGATGACTCCATATTTAACATTTTGAGGAACTGACAAACTATTTTGCAAAATGGCTGCACTATTTTACATTCCCACCAGCAGCATATGAGGGTTCCAATTTCCCTACATCCTCGCCAGCACTTACTAACTATCATTTTGATTATGGCTATACTAGTTGGTTTGAAGTCATATTTCACTGTGGTTTTGATTTGCATTTCCCTAATTGCTAATGGTATTGGGCATCTTTTCATGTGCTTATGAGCCATTTATATATCTTCTTTAGAGAAATGTCTACTCAGATATTTTGCCCATTTTTCAATTTGTTGAGTTTTAAGACTTTTTAAATTTTGTTTTAATGTTTATTTATTCTTAGAGACAGAGCATGAGTGGGGGAGGGGCAGAGAGCAAGGGAGACCTAGAATCTGAAGCAGGCTCCAGATTCTGAGCTGTCAGCACAGAGCCCGATGTGGGGCTTGAACTCACGGACCTTGAGATCATGACCTGAGCCGAAGTCGGTCACTCAACCAACTGAGCCACCCAGGCACCCCAAGAGTTCTTTTTTTTTTTTTTTAATATATGAAATTTATTGTCAAATTTGTTTCCATACAATACCCAGTGCTCATCCCAGAAGATGCCCTCTTCAATACCCATTACCCACTCTCCCCTCCCTCCCACCCCCCATCAACCCTCAGTTTGTTCTCAGTTTTTAAGAGTCTCTTATGCTTGGCTCTCTTCCACCCAAGAGTTCTTTATAAGAGTTATGATAGGTCCCTCATCAGATACAGTCAATTCTCAGTATTCCTGGTAGTTATGTTCTATCAAGTCACCATGAACAACGAGCATTGCTTCTAGGGCAAGTATGTACATACATGTATATATTTTACCTCCATTGCAATCTTAAATCCTAGAAACAACTCTTCCTACAGCTTTTCTTTTCTTCATTTTTTAAAAGAGAAAAGGAGGTTCAGAAGTGTTAAGTTTGCCTACGGCTGCCCCACAAACTGATCCTCCCAGAGTTGGGATTCAGACCCCATCCAACCAACCCCAGAGCTGGAGCTTTTTGAACTACTCTGTACTGTGCCCTTCTGCCTTCCCCCCTTGGTAATCTCTGGGAGAGGTGAAAAAAGGAGAGAGAACCTCAACTTTTTTTTTTTTTTTACTTTAGCTGGGAACTTTGTGCATCTTTCACTGCTTTAGGCACATCTGCAAATGAGCAGGAAAGCCCTGTGAGTGTTGATTTGAGGGATATAAATAAATGTTAGCAAGTAGTCTCTTTCTCAACTACGGAATATACCAATAATGAGGATTGACTGAATATGGTTTGCAATAATTTTCTCCTATTCTGTGAGTTGTCTTTCACCTTCTCTTTTCTTTTCTTTCACTTTCTTGATGGTGTCCTTTGAAGCACAAAAGTTTAAATTTTTTAAAAATGTTTATTTATTTTTGAGAGAGAGAGAGAGACAGACAGAGCGCAAGGAGGGGAGGGGCAGAGAGAGAGGGAGACACAGAGTTCAAAGCAGACTCCAGACGCGGAGCTGTCAGCACAGAGCCTGATGCAGGACTCGAACTCACAGACCACTAGATCATGATCTGAGCCAAAGTCGGGCACTTAACCAACTGAGCCACCCAGGAGCCCTGTAGAAGTTTTAAATTTTGATGAAGGCTGATTTATGTCTCCTTTTGTTGTTTGGGCTTTTGATGTCATGTCTAAGAAGGCTTTACCTTATCCAAGGTCACAAAGATTTACTCCTATGTTTTCTTGTAAGAGTTTTATGACTTTAGCTTATACATTTAGGCCCATGATACATTTTAAGTTAATTTTTATGTATTGTGTAAGGAGGGGTCCAATTTCATTCTTTACCATAGCCAGTAATTGTGCACCAGTTGTTGAAAAGACTGTTTTTTCCCCCTATTTCATTGTGTTGGGACTTTGTCAAAAATCAATTGACCATAAAGTAAGAGTTTATTTCTGGACTCATAACTTAGCTCTGTTGATCTATATTTCTGCTCCCATGCTGTCTTGATTGATACTGTTTTGTAGTAAGTTTTGAAATTGTCAAATATGAGTCTTCCAACTTTGTTCTTGATGTGTCTTCCGACTATTTTTTTCCATGGTTTTAGATAGGGGCAAAGAGATTATTGAACTGGTCAGAAAACCCCAAAATATAATAAAGTAAAATGTATAAGTTATATATGGTACGTTCCTATAGTAAAACAGAAATGTCCAACCTCACATGTCCCTTTCAAGTGCAATTTTCTGCACTGTTGTGCTAATTCAGTCTGATTTTTTTCCTTCTAAAATAAATGTTATGAAATGGTAATTGTGACTTAATGATTCTCCTGAATCTTCTAGTGTTTAGATTAAAGTGGATTTTTTTTTTTTCATCCTGTTTAGGTAGGTGGAGAGTTTTCAAACATTGTTATCCCCCAGATGAAGAAGTTTGGAAGGATTGCTATTTGTGGGGCCATCTCTGTGTATAATACTACTCGCCCACTTCCCCCAGGTAATGAGCTCATGCACACGACCACAGATGTAGAAAGACTGGGCAAGGAGAAAATTCACGGATATGGTATATAGGCCAGTGACTATCAAAATATTAAAAAGACTTCCTGATAATAATTTTCTTTTTAAAAAATAATTAAAAAATAATTTTCTCCTTTTTCCTCTTTTTAAAAAATTTGTTTAATGTTTATTTGTTTTTGAGAGAGAAAGAGAGAGAGAGAGAGAGAGAGAGAGAGAGAGAGAGCGAGCAGGGGAGGGGCAGAGAGAAAGGGAAACACAAAATCCGAAGCAGGCTCCAGGCTCTGAGCTGTCAGCATAGAGCCCAACCTGGGGCTTGAACTCACGAACTGCGATATCATAACCTGAGCCAAAGTTGGACACTTAACTGGCTGAGCCACACAGGCTCCCCAGACTTCCTGATATTCTTGATGAAGTAGTGTTTATTAAACTAAAACTATGTATTTTTATATGTTTGTGCTAAATAACTTATGTTCGATTTTGATATAGAGAAATAACAGAATCTGAAAATAGGGAAGAAATGTTGATAATTGTTAAAAGTTTTAATTGTTTACCTATTGTTTTGGGCAAAGTTGTGAAAAGACAGCCATGCTTTGATTTAGAGACAGAACACCTTGGCCTGGCTGGTGCAATATCAGGGTTCTTCAGAACATTGCTGGAGGAATGGGGATTGGAGAGGATGACTCAATGTGGGTGAAGCAAACAGCAGGCCGCCATTTCCTTCCGACAGTGGAGGGCAGTGCCTCCTAGAGCTTCAGGACACACTGGCTCCCCCAGACTGACAATTTCCATGGAAAGGGAGAGGAGCATGCATTTCTCCTCTGTTCCTGGACTGTCCTTATTTTGTTTCTTTCGTGCATCCATCTCCACTTCTCCACTCTTCCTATGCTGAGACTGCCCTCTGCCCTCTTTATACCCACAAAGGTCTAAAAGCAGTATCAACTAGAGAACTCTATTTGTGAAATCCTAACTCTCTGAGAGATGTTGTGCAGGCCTCTTGTTTTATGAATGGGGAGATGAATGGGCAAGAAGGCCAGAGGCTCTTTAAATCCTATTAGTAAGAGACTCAAAGACAGGTCTTCTGCACTCCTCGTACAGAGTCCTTTCCTACTACAACGATTTTGTGCTGTTGGTGAGATTATAGATTGACCTGTGGTCCAAAAAAAGAAAAAAAAAGAGCAAAAGGAATCTTAGAGATTATCATCAAGATCTGGGATGATAACCATAAATAAATTTGGCTTCTGTGATGGGCTTCACTCATGGGAATGAAACCCTACAGCCCTGCTAGTTAACAATCCCACAACTGCACTGAGACAGGTGAGCGAGAGTGGAAGGGACTGAGAAAGGACAGCTTCCAGACTCCCTCTTGGGCTGGGAAAAATCAAAGATACTACCATCTCCAAAAAGACTCCAGGTGCACTTGGCAGTCTTATTGCTATGGACTTTTCCCCCCTCTATTTTTCTAATTGAAGCTAAGCTAGAATCCTGGGAAATCTTCTGCCTGTCCGTTGAGCAAAGCACCAGGATGCATTTTCTTGACCATAGTCCAATAAGGTACAGCCAAATATTTGGGTCCAGTAACTTGATCTTGTCTTGTTAGCAATTAGATTGGAAGTTGAAGGTCTTTGAGACGTCAGCTGGCCTTGTCCATTCATTTTAGATGAGATCCTGCCCTGCCTCTGAGCTCCAGAAATTCTAACATATATCACTGTTAGGATAGCTCAGAGGTAATTATTTGCCCCAGCATTAATGCCACGTTCAAATGCCACATTCTTCTTGCTCCCAATAAAGAAACTATATTCCCATCAGGGTGGATAAGCCCAAAAATGGTATTTCATCCTCTCCCAAGATGAGGAAATGAGGATTCCAGTTCTTAACCTAAAGAGAAATATGGTTGGTGTGCATCTCCTAAAGAAGCACCCTCTCTGCAAGGGCAACCTGACATTTGGACGTGTTGCTGTCTTGTGTCACCCTCATATCTCACTCCTCTTGCACCAGTTTCTTTTGGTTCAGGACAAGGCCTTATTTTTCTGACTGCTAATGTGACTTTCTCCAAAGTAGGGAGTAGGAACTTTCAGCGTGAGCGATGCCAGTTATCAAGGATGCCGCAAATAAATTCTGCCAGTCACCTCGGCTCATCTGGTGCTGAGGTTTCAGGGGCATGTTTACCTGACTTACTGAAACTTTTAAGACTATGTTCAGGTGTCATTCCCTCAGTTTCTGGTCACTCAGGATCCTTGGGAAAATAAGCCAGGCAACCAACACAACCTTTTCTCTCTCACACAGAAAAGTACTACCTTTTTTTTTTTTAATGTTTATTTACTTTTGAGAGAGAGAGAGAGAGAGAGAGAGAGAGAGAGAGAGAGAGAGCGCACGCGCGCAAGTGGGGGAGGGGCAGAGAGAGAGGGAGACAGAATCCAAAGCAGGCTCCAGGCTCTGAGCTGTCAGCACAGAGCCCGACATGGGGCTCGAACCCATGAACCATGAGATCACGACCGGAGCCGAAGTTGGATGCCCAACTGACTGAGCAACCCAGGGGCCCTGAGTACTACCTTCTTGATAGGCTGCAGAGTAGGCTGGTACTTTTTCTAGGCTGGTGGTTCTCAAAGTGTGGGCCCAGGACTAACAGCATCACCATCTCCTGAGAATTTGTTAGAAATATAGATTCTTGGGACCCATTCCATATCCACAATCAGAAACTGGGGGAGGGGCCAGCAATCTCTTTTCATAAGCCTTCCATGTGATTCTGAAAAAGAACATTCTACATGTCGGGAATATCAGGGTATTTATGGTTGATTAGCACAGGAACATTTTCACGTTATCTTCAGGACCCACTTCTGTTCCATAGAACACTGTTCTATGGACTGCCATTGGGCAGTGTTTGGTGGGCCTTGCTTCTGGCATGTGCAGGCTGAACATTCCCTGGCTTCCTGGCCTGTGCAGGGACTGAGTGTGTATTAGTTTCCTGTTGCTGCTGTAACAAATTACCACAAATTTAGTGGCTTAAAACAACACAGATTTATTGCCTTATAGTTCTGGAGGTCAAAAGTCTAACATGGATCAGCAGGGCTGAATTCTTTCTGAAGGCTCAAGAGGAGAGTCTGTTTCCTTGCCTCTTCCAGCTTCTAGAGGCTGCCTGTATTCTGTGGCTCATGGTCCCTACCTCCATCTTCAAAGCCAGCAGCACGGAATCTTCCAAAGTCTGTCTTTCTCTCTCTTTCACTCTAATCTGTACTTCCATCATCACATATTTTTTCCTGACTCTGACTTTTCTGCATCCCTTCCAAGGACCCTTGTGATTATATTGGGCCCACCTGTATAATACAGAATAATCTCTTCATCTAAAGGCCCTTAACTTAATCATGTCTGCCAAGTCCTTTTTGCCATGTAAGAAAGCACATTCATAGGTTCTGGGAGTTAAGATATGGCCACCTGTGGAGACCATTATTCTGTCTACCACAGAGGGCATGTTGATTTTTGGACAACCTCGTGGATCAGAAAAGAGTGGAGAAATCTAGAACAGTGATGTGACTTATCCTGCTTGTGTTTTCACCACGGCCACCTCCCTGGACCCTGTCACCTAAATGTGTCCGCCTTTTTCACAGGCCCACCCCCAGAGAATATCATCTATCAGCAACTCCGCATGGAAGGGTTCATTGTCACCCGCTGGCAAGGAGATGTCCGTCAGAAGGCTCTGAAAGACTTGCTGACATGGGTCTTAGAGGTGAGGAGCTCCAGAGCCACTCCCCCAGTTGTACACTGGATCCCATTCTCTTCTGACATGACAGGCTTCATTTCCACTGCAAATCCAGGTGCATCTCACTGTTCCCCTTTTAGAACAAAATACCAGGAAGTGTTTGTTTTTTAATGTGTTTTTTTTTTTTTTTTTTGAGAGAGACAGACAGACAGACAGACAGACAGAGTGTGAACAGGGGAGGGGCAGAGAGAAAGGGAGACACAGAATCTGAAGCAGGCTCCAGGCTCTGAGCTGTCAGCACAGAGCCCCATGCAGGTCTTAAACTCAGGAAGCATGAGATCATGACCTGAGCCCAAGTGGGACACTTAACCAGCTGAGCCCCCCAGATGCCCCAGGAAGTGTTGACACTCAATGTCTGCAGTTCCTCTCTTTCCATTCTCTCGTGAACCCACATATCAGGCTTTTGTACTCTTGCCACTCCACCATAATTGCTTTGGTCAAGGTTGACGATGTCCTGATTGTGAACTGCAGTGGTCAGTTCTTAGTATCACTTGGCTCTGGGGGGTGTTTGACAGAGGTGATCACATTGTCCTTGGTACACTTTCTTCCCATGCCTTCCCTTGTCTCTTGGTTTTCCTCACAGATTTGTCCTTCTCAGAGGACCTCCTCCTCTGCTAACTTCTTTTTTCCTCTGCAGATCAATAATAGAGTGTCCCAAGGTATGGTCACTGGACTTCTTTTCTTCTCTGCCCACAGTCTGTCTATCCCTTACTTAGCTCATCCAGGCTCTTGGCTTTAAATATCATTGGTATGCTGACAGCTCCTGAATGTCTGTCTCTAGCCTGGATCTCTCCCCAGGGCTCTGGGCTGCTCAACAGCTGCACTTAGATGTGTAATACACATCTTCGACTCAACACGTCAAAAACTAAATATGTCTTGATCTTTCCTGCCAAATCCATTCCATATACAGACCTCACCATTTCAGTGACGGCAATTCTATCCCCACCCCCACCCCCCCAGTTGCTCAATCCAAAAACCTTGAAATCATCTTTGATTCCTTTCTTTCTCTCAGACCCACATTTAATCTGTTGGGAAATTCTGGTGGCTCAGCCTTCAAAATATACACAGAATCTGTCCAGCTCTCCCACCTCTACTGCCACCACCCTGGTCCAGGCCACCTTCTTATCTAGCCTAGTAGCCTCTGTCTGGCCTCCCAACTTTGTGCCCCAACAGACAATTCCCAACACAGCTGCCAGTGTGATCTTTTAAGGCATAAATCAAACCATGTCATTCTTATGCTCAAAACTCTGCAAAGCTCCCCATTTCACTTACAATAAAACCTACGAGGGGCGCCTGGGTGGCTCAGTCAGTTGAGCGACTGACTTCGGCTCAGGTCTTGATCTCACGGTTTTTGAGTTCGGGCCCGCATTGGGCTCTATGCTGACAGCTCAGAGCCGGAGCCTGCTTCTGATTCTGTGTCTCCCTGTCTCTCTGCCCCTCCCCCACAGGCACTCTGATTCTCTCTGCCTCTCAAAAATAAACTAATAAAAAAAAAAAACCTACGAGATTGTACATGATCTGGCCTCCATTACCTAATTTCATTTCTTAGTGTTCACCCCTTGCTTTCTTTGCCCAATCCCTCCCCACTTCCCTCTGCCCTCTGTAACTGCTTCCTTAATTCACTCATCTCCTTCAAGTCATAACTACATTCTGAATGAGGCAACTTTTAAAATGGCCCTATTTTATTTTATTTTTTTATTATTTTTTAAATATTTGTTTATTAAATATTAATAAGAGAAAGGGACAGAGTGTGAGCAGGTAAGAGGTTAGAGTGAGAGGGAGACACAGAATCCGAAGCTGGCCCCAGGCTCTGAGCTGTCAGCACAAAGCTGGATGCAGGGCTCAAACTCATGAACCACCAGATCATGACCTGCGCCAAAGTTGGACGCTTAACTTGACTAAGCCACCCAGGTGCCCCATAATGCCCCTATTTTAAATTGCAGTCCCCCTCCATTCTTGATCCTCCTTATCTTACTTTTACCCATAGCAATTATTATCTTTTAACATGATGTATACTATAATTCATGTATATTTATTGCCCATCGCCCTCCTGTGAGAATGTAACCTCCATGAAGGCAGCAACATTCATGCGTTTTTTTCTGATGTATCCCCACCACCTAGAATAGTGTCTGAATCAATGTAAACTCTAGATGAATATTGTTGGATAAATGTTGGAGAGGCATATATTTGGGGCTGTGGCTCTTCCAGGTCCCAAATTGGCATCTTCCTATAGCCATGGCTTTCAATCCACAGGAAGAAGCCAATCCTGTCCTATGTTGTGATACTTTTCCCATCTTTCACAATTTGCAGTTTTAGTCAACAGAATTCTGAATAACCAAGGGGCATTATTTTAGTTTTGGAGGGGAAAAGTGATATCACACTTCTAAACTCTTGGCTTTATCATCCTTTCCCAATTCAAATAGATTGCTCCTCTGGCAGCCACTGGAGCTTGGTGTTTTTCCCAGTCCAACGCTTGGAGTGCTGAGCTGGGCTCTTTCCAGGAAGCTGGGAAGAGCTGAATGATTTTCAAGCTCCCAGTGTGGAGCCTCTTTGTCCCTGTTGGTGAAATCTGATCTAGCCCTCCCATGATGGCAACTGACAACAAGAAACCACTGTGCTGGTCTTCCTAATGCCTCCTTCTAACAGAGTGGACCTAATTACAGTTTTGTTTTCAGTAACTAGTGAATTGGCCTAATTTCTCTCTCAACTACTTATTTTTTTTTCTCGTCTCTTTTTCTTCTTGAAAATATACTTTTCTTTTAGAATAGTTTTAGATATATAGAAAAATCACAAAGATGGTACAAAGGGTTTCAATATGCCCTGTATTCTGCACCTTAATTTACCATATTATTATCACCTATATATTAGTATTCATCCTCTACTTTTAACTTATAAACTTTTGATTACAGCATTTTCCCCTTTACAGGTTCTTTGCCTCCTTTAAGAACAGAAAAGAGCTGGGGCTTCCTAGTCAAGGCCTCCTCAAATCCCAGCCTCCGTACTTATCAATTAGTTGAGTGACCCCAAGCAAATTGTCCCTCCATAAATTCATAAAGGGTACTAAGCCATCACTGGAATATGTTAAGAAAATAAATGGTATCCGGTAACGCCAGTCTCCACAGAAGACCCTTTATAAAAACCTTGAAAATGTAAATTAGTTCCACTTAGTAGACTGCCTTGTAGCAGAGAAATGAAAAACCCTCACTAAATAAGCCCTTCCCTCCCACATTCCTAAGTGAATGTTCAACACATATTGAAAGAATCTGGGCTTGAAGGGAGGACGAATTATTAGATTGCCATGGTATTTACCATTCCTGAACAGGCTCTGCCGCTTCAGGGGTCAAAGAGAGGTAATGATGCTACATCATGAAGCTACTGGAAGGATTAAAGTGGATAATACTCTGGAAGGGGGCCCCTTTTTCCATCTTCTTCCACCTCTTCTGAGATCATTACATTATTAAACTTTTCCATGTGATTTACTTATAAATTGCTTAATCACTTTCCTGTAGCATTTCTTCTATTGTTATACTGTGACCTAACACCTGTTACCAAACTTTTATGTGTACTTTGTGGCTCATGCCACTAGATTGACTATTCGCTCATGGTGGATTGGGCCTCCCTCTTAGATGTCCAAGATAATGATGTTCCTGATAAATTTGTTGCTATGATGAGAAAAGTATATCATTCAGAATATGAAATTAATCTGTTATATTTGTTGTCATTTTGATACAGGGTAAAATCCAGTACCGTGAATACATCACTGAAGGGTTTGAAAACATGCCAGCTGCGTTTATGGGAATGCTGAAAGGTGAAAATTTGGGGAAAACAATAGTGAAAGCATGAAAAAAAAAGACACATGGAATCTAGAATTCATTTGGATGATTACCACGTCTCTTTAACCATTTAGTAAAAATACATACTGCCTTCATTATCTAAAAATTGTAATGAGTTTGATCTATCTAATAAAACACATTTAAGTGGTATGTAATTAGCAACAGAGAGTGAAAATTTCATAGTGAACAATGGCCAGTCATGTCACTGCCTACTACAGCTCCTTCTAGGTTAAGGGAGAAAATAATGGCTTAGAGGCCAAAAGTTTACTGCCTCTGTGACTTTGGAGTTTTGTGTTTTTTTGTTTTTTGTTTTTTTTCGATCTGTAAAGTGAGGATAGTAACATCTGCGTTATGTACATATTATAAATGTATTTAAAATACCAGCATAATGCCTGGCCTATATTAGGTACCCAGTAAGTGTTAGTTATCTCCCTGCAGAAATCAGTGAATTTGAAGTCATAAAATTATCACTCTTATTGCTTATGTTTACATGAGCAGAAATAATCATTGCTCATGGGGGTCTCAGGGCAGCCCAAACTGGTTCTCTGCAGCTGAGTCTAATAATACGACAGACCAAGGAAGGGATTTATCATTCCCAACGGCTACAAAAAGATAGCACATGGGGATATAAGCCTCCAAAGTGATTGAGAGTTAAATGAAGACCACTTTCAAGTTCTTTTTTTTTTTTTTTTTTTTAAATATACTCTCTACACCCAACGTGGGGCTTGAACGCATGACCCTGAGATCAGGAGTCAGAAGCTCTATTGACTGAACCAGCCAGGTGCCCACCCACAAACACTTTAGAGCTTTTTTTTTTTTTTTTTTTCCAACGTTTATTTTTTATTTTTGGGACAGAGAGAGACAAAGCATGAACGGGGGAGGAGCAGAGAGAGAGGGAGACACAGAATCGGAAACAGGCTCCAGGCTCTGAGCCATCAGCCCAGAGCCTGATGCGGGGCTCGAACTCACGGACCACGAGATCGTGACCTGGCTGAAGTCGGATGCTTAACCGACTGCGCCACCCAGGCGCCCCCACTTTAAAGCTTTAAAGCATTACTGAGGAACACAAAGACTTAAAATTTGGAAAGGTACCATGCTTTTGGATAGGAAGATTCAGAATTCTGAAGATGTCAATTCTGCCTCCAAATAGGGTAAGGGGTAAATTAGACCACAGTGAAAAATGGAAGGGAAAAAATGGAAGAAGAAAATGTGTGTGTGTGTGTGTGTGTGTGTGTGTGTGTGTGTGTGTGAGAGAGAGAGAGAGAGAGAGAGAGAGAGAGAGAGAGAGAGAGAAACCTCAAGAAGGATGTAATAAACAATTGATAATATGATTTGTCTCCAGAGAAGAGAACTGGGGAGTGCCTGAAGGCAAGAAACTTTACACTATATAACCTTTTGTACTTTTTGAATTCTAGGTCTTACAAATTATCCACTATTTAAAATACAATTAAAAAATAAAAATCTTCACCTTTCTGGGTCCCCCATACAGGGATGAGATAAAACTCAGGCAAGTGTGGGGGTATCCCCAAGATGGGCACCCCTGCTTTTTTTGTTTGTTTTTTTAACTCTCAAAGATATCCAGACTGAGCCTCCAATAATTCCTCAATTATAGTTTAAGTTTTCCTGCCATGGGACTACTGGTTCCCATGGAGATTTCTGCTCTTGGGCTTTGACTCCAATCACATGATTCTCTGTGTCTGTCTGACTTTCTAAATTTGGGGGCAGCAGTTTGTGACGTCAGTTCTCTGCTGTATCTAAAGAGAGTTGATTTTTCAGTTTCCTCAACTTCTTTCTTGTTAGGACAGAGTGATGACTTCCAAACCCAACATGGGCTGGCCCAGAAATTGGAAGCCAAGAGCATTTGTTTTTAATTTTGAAAATACTTATCTTTTTTTCCTTTATGGTTACTGATTTTATTTTTTATTTTATTTTATTTTAAAGATTATTTATTTTGCGAGAGACAGAGACAGGGTGAGTAGGGGAGGGGTGGAGAGAGAGAGGACCCCAACCAGCTCCACACTGCCAGCAGAGCAATGCAGGGCTCGAACCCATGAACCATGAGATCATGACCTGACCTGAAACCAAGAGTGGGACGCTTAACAGACTGAGCCACCCAGGTGCCCTGATGGTTACTGATTTTAGTTTCTCGCCTAAGAAATCTTTGCCTAGCTCAAGGTCATGAAATTTTTCTCCCATGTTTTATTCTGTAAGTTTTACAGTTTTAGCTGTTATGTTAGATCTGTGACAGCAGAGAATAGGGGATTGAGACTGACTGCAAAGAAGCAAGAGAGAATTATCTGGGGGCGATTTCAGTGTCCTGTTGGGGGTGGGTATTACATAAGGGGAGACATTTGTCAAAACTCATGAAGTGGTACATTTAAATGTGCATCTTATTGTATGTAAATTATACCTTACTACAGTTAATTTTTAAAAGGAAGAAAATATGTCCAGTACGAAAGGTAGGCTGCAAGACAGGAGCTTGCTTGCTACCAAACCGCTGCAGACTCCTGACTTACGTGCAGAGAGAAAGAAATATGATAAACAGCCAGCGTAAGGCGAAAGTCTGTAAGATCTACAACCACAAGGTATGTACTTTGTGGAAAAGCCTCCTAAATGGGAATTAATATTTTCAACTTGAGACAGGATGAACACAGGTCTTCATGTTTCCCCCACTCCCATCTACTTCTCTGTCTGGAATTTATCTTGGTCCCCACTGTAAGATACATATCCCTCTTTATTTTTTCCAAGTTAGGAGCCAGTTTTTCCTACATCATTTATGGAATACTCCCATCTACCCTTCACTGATTTCAAACACATCTTTTACTGTGTTTTCTATTCATAGGTATTTGGTTCATAGCTAGACTAACCCGCTCAACTGATCTGTGTGTTTCATTATTTTGTCACTACTGGGAATAGGATTTTTTCCTATTACACTTTTTATTAGTTATTCCTATAGCTTGGGAAAGTTTTTCTTTTTTTAATGTTTATTAATTTTGAGAGAGAGTGTGTGCAGGTGCACAGGCAGTGGAGGGAGAGAGAGAGGGGGAGAGAGAATCCCCAATAATGTGGGGCTCAGTCTCACCGTGAGATCATAACCTGAGCCAAAATCAAGAATCGGACGCTTAATCGACTGAGCCATTCAGATGCCCCAGGGCTTGGGAAAGTTTTTAAATAATCTGTCAATCTATGCACAATTATGCATTTTTGTAATAGGGTATTACAAGAGTGCTCCTTTTTAAAATATTTTTTAAAATTTATTCATTTATTTGAGAGAGACAGAGACATGGTGAGCAGGGAAGGGGCAGAGAGAGAGGGTGAGAGAATCCCAAGCAGACTCCACGCTGCCAGTGCAGAGCCCGATGCAGGGCTCGAACCCACAAAACCATGAGATCATGACTTGAGCTGAAACCAAGAGTCAGATGCTTAACCAACTGAGCCACCAGGTGTCCCGAAAAGAGTGCTCTTTTAAATACAGTATTTCGGATTAACTCATTTAAAATCATCACTGCAGTGTTTTAGCCTGATGCTAACAGCATAATCCAGAACTGCTTCCAGGTAGCTAATTGGACTTGATATGATACAACTGATTGCACCAAAAATGTGCTTTTTTCCAGCATGTAATATGTTCTGTGAACTTGTGCATATCCCAGGAATATAATTTTTTTCAGTGAAATTTCAATAGTAAAGTGACAGACATTTCCAGATGAAGAACCAGGCAGGACATTACCACTGACAGCATATTATTAGCCCAACTGAAAAATTTTAAGATCTATAGGGCTTCTGGTTTTAAGGGAGTAAAGAATTCTGCTTTGTCCTCCAGAAAATCCTCCAAAATAACATAAGGCATAACAAAAATACAAACTCCAGTGGCACCCGGGTGGCTCATTTGGTTAAGCATTCAATTCTTGATCTCAGCTCAGGCCTTGATCTCTGAGTTTTGAGTTCAGGCCCCACATTGGGCACTGCACTGGGCATGAAGCCTACTTAAAAAAAAAAAAAAAAAATGCAAACTCCATTTAAGAAAAATAAAGAGGAACCAGTAGGATTTTTGTAACCAATTGTTACAAAAAAGGTTAATAACAAGTGATGGCAAAGAGGTAAAAAAATGATTCTAGCAGTACTCATACATTGCTGGTAGGGATGTAAAATGGGTGGCTGCTTTGGGAAATAGTTGAGCAGTTCTTCAAAATGCTAAACAGAATTGCCCCATGAACCATCAATGTGACTCCCAGGTATGCACCAAAGAGAACTGAAAACATATGTCAACACAAAAACTTGTACACAAATGTTCATAGCAGCATTATTCATAACAGCCCGAAGAAGAAACAAGCCAATGTCCAATATGCTATAATGTGGCATATTTATAATGGAATATTATTCAGCCATAAAAAGGAATGAAGTACTGATACATGTTACAACAGAAGATCTTGAAAACCTTAGGCTAAAGTGAAAGAAGACAGAAACAAAAGGCCATTCATTGTAGGATTCTGTTTATATGAAATGTCCAGAACAAACGGGCACATTTAGAGACAGAAGTAGATTTAGTAGTTGTACAGATGGGACCGGGAGGAGTAGAAACTGATGACTAATAGGTATGGAATTTATTTGGGGGGAAATAAAAATATTCTTGAATTATATAGTGGTGATAGTTGCACATCTTTGTGACTATACTAAAAACCCCTAAATTGTACACTTCAAAGAAATGAATTTTTGCAGCATTATTCACAATAGCCAAGGTATGCAAACAACCTAAGTGTTTGTATCCATATGAACGGATAAACACACACACACGCACACTAATATCCTTCAGGTACTCAGTTTGTAACCCAGAGACCCTGGACTTCAAGGTGTGAACACTCATCAACAGACTTTGGATTATCTCCCTGGGGGAAAGAAGGTATGTACTGGGCGGGGGTTGGGGGGGGGGGAGCAGGAGGGTGGGCGGGGAGAATGAAAGGGTATAGTGATCAGGACAAATAGTGGCAGAAGCAATCTATGTGCTCACAATGAGGGCAAGACAATTTCCCAGCCTCCTTTGCAGTTAGTGTCATGTGACTGATTTCTGGCCAATGGGAGAGCAAGGAAGTGATTTCTAAGCTACATGTTCCCAAAGTTTCTTGGTTAGAGCATTCTTAGCACCACAATCGTCTTTTCACAAGAAA